CTTCTTTTCTACTTCTTCCATTTTCAATAATTCCTCTTCTGCCTTTTTTCTTTCTTTTTCTAATCTGGCAATCTCTTTTTTTTCATGTTCGATTTCTTCAGCCTTTTCTTTTTCTTCCTTTTTCTTAAATTCTTTTTCCTCTTTTTCCTTTAATCCTTTGATTTTTTCTCGGATATTCTTATTCCTTTCGTGTTGTACCATTTCATTAGCGGTGTTAAATATTGTTTGACCCCAATCTTCTTTAAAAGTATCCGCCTCTGCTGCAACTTCCATTATATCCTGTTGGAGCTCTTGCTCAGCTTTTAAAAATGAAATCCATAGATCATCACCGACCGAACCTTTTTGTACCAAAGATGCAAGTGCAGGTCTATCTTCCTTTAACCTTAATATTCTCTCGACATCAGTCATAGCACGACGCAATAATGCGGCTTTGAGTTGAAGCTCAGTGGCAGGTGGTGATGTTTGTTGTAGGAGTGAAATATATATGTCTCTTGTAGTGTGCTCAGGAAACCATGGTATATATTTTGTTGTGGCTTAGAATTAAAAATCGTTCCAAAAAAAAACAATAAAAAAAAAAGTTAAGAGTCTAATTAAATTATTTGTCTTGGATCTATTTTTTTTTTTTTTTAAAGCTACATAAAAGTTGTCTTGTAAAATGAATTTCTTAAAAAAAAAATCTATCTTTACAAGTTTAAAATAAATGACTTATACCAGCTTTTCGTCTTCGCCATATAAAAGAAAACGTGCTCATCACTATTAACATTCCTCCTACGTAGGTAATTGCCATTAACCATGATGACATAGTTGTAATTCTGTTTGTTTTTTAGAAAAAATTAATTGGGTTTTTTTAAAACTTTTTATATAAAATTTACGAAGCTATTGTTGATTCAGATCCAATTTTTATAGTCCTTAATAATTTATTGGTCCCTTAGATCTCAGATTAAAGCTATAATTCGGCTATTTTCGATTGGTCGGTATATTATCCATTGTTGTGTTACATGTTCAGATACATGATTTACAAAACAGGAGGCAGGGCACATTTATCCATTGGGGTGAATGGAGAACAACTTGATATCACTCCATTGCTCCATTGAGAATGGAGCCAATGAAGACCAACTAGCTTATAATATCTGATAACAGGCTTCGATTACATTTTTAAGATCCAAAACTTCTACTAGTGACAATACAATAGGTAGACCGCGCAAAATATGGGACATGTACAGTACGTAGCAAGGATGAACCCAAAGAAAAGTTTCGTAAATAGGAAGGTACTTAAATGGTATTTAAAATAATTGAAGATAGAAATTTTAATAGACACAGTCTAATGTCGGAAATTGGTGATGAAAAGGTTCTAATGGTATTTGAAATAGGCACTATGTGTTTGAAATTGTTAACGAAGCAGTATAGGTGCTACTAAAAATAAAAATAAAAAAAAAGCATTCGAATTGTGCTTTAAAATCAGCTGAAGGTGAAAATTCTAGTGTAAAATCTAATCTTGAGAAAATTGCTACCGATAATGGCATAGGCACTCTTAAAATATCGCGGTCATATAATGAAATATTTCGAATGAATGAAGATATTAAATATTTCTACATTTTTAATAATAATAAAGTTTTAGCATTAGTAACGTTTGATATTTTTATTAATTAAAAAAATTGATCTGCTACGTAGTAATTGTAGTCGATCAACTTTTAGTTGGTCGATATAATAATCGACTAAAAAGTCGACTAGTCGATTTTAGTCAACTAAGTGATGGTCGACTAGTCGATTTTAGTCAACTAAGTGATGATCGACTACTGATTAACCAATTATTGGATTTTTAACCATGTTTAAGATTTCTAAACTTGATACGTATTACGTATTATAGCGTTTTTTGCTCTAAAATTTCTTAAGCATATCGTTCTTTTTAAAAACTCGCGTAACATAAACTAGTGGTTTATTTAGCGAATATATATTTTTCTTTTTTTATTTATTCTTAACTTACTATTTCTTTTGCTAAAAACTTTTATTTATTATTTTTTTTTGACTTTACTAGATCCTACTTGTCTACTTCAGCGCTACGGAATTTAAAAGTTCTATTTATAATTTACTCTGCTTTCATTTTATTGATATTTTAAATAACTTTTTAACTCTTACTAGCTCTTTTCCTTTTTTTTTATTATTACTTCTAGGCTTTTAATCGTTACATTCGCGACTTTATGAACTTTACTTGCGATAGAAGGTAAATTATTTTACTGGGTATTCATGTTTAGTATACGCGTGTGTGTAAGTTACGCTGCGGTATAGTGATGATACCGTGTAGACACAGCGTTCTGAAACTGATGCAACCAGTAGTTTAGAAATGATAAGGTTATACAAGAGCTGCCTAGGAGGGTATACGGTAATATGTTTACATATCTCGTATGGACGTTGTGTGAAAGTTACGCTGCGGAAATGAGCCCTCCGTGTAGACACAACGCACTCCGAAGCAGACAATAACCAATATTATCATTAAATATAATAGGTTGCTAGGTAATAGGAGGGTACGACGATGCATACAATATACTCAATTTTTTTCTTTTTTTTTTTTTTTTTATTTAGAAAAAGAAATCGTTAAAAATCTGAGACTTTGAGGTTAAACGAAGAGCGAATAATCTATAATTCCTTTTTACGTAATAACGTTTTTATTGTGATTTTTGGACAAGATAAGGTAAGTGAACTCTTTTTTGAGTTATTACTAACCCAAAGTCGAGATTATTTTTATTACGTTATTTTTTATAACTTTCCGATACTTTTCAACTAATCTATTTAACTTACGAAAATTTATTATCTTTTGAGCTTTTTTTGGCTTGGTAACAGTTAGTGTTTTCAGACGAAATTATTTTTGAATTTCGCCCTATAAGTCCGAAATTAATTTCGCCTAATTTTGATATGCAAAATTGAATTTCGCCCGAAACACTAGTAACAGTAAGTATTTGTTTTTTTTTTCATTCCATTTTTCTGATTAAAATAAAAAAAAAATTTTAATTTCAATTTCCTTTTGTAAATTCGAAGTGTGACTGTAATAATACTAGGAAAACGGGATCCGTTGAATTTCGGAACGCCGCTTCACTTCGAATAATGTTGATATCAGGGACATGCGAATTTTGTGATTTGCTGTGATCGAAGTAAATCACAGAAAACATCGATTGCAAAATGTAGTATTAAGATAATAGTATGGTCAAATTTAATAAAATTATTTTAATATTTTGTTTAATGATGTAAAAAATATAATAAAATCTTATATTTTAATAGTGTTAGTTCAAAAAAATTTCACATTTCTCGAAAAAAAAAATTGACTTTTTAAAAATTTGCAAGTTTTTTTTGTTTTTACGAGATAAAATTTTAGATTTTATATTATTAAATCGGTACTTTAATTTTAATTAACAGTAAATCACATAATTTATTGTTATCAAAAACAGAATTTATTAAATTATATCACAGATTTCGCGTGTCATGTAACTTATATAATATATTAAAATTTTTCTGCTTTTGAAACTTGGAAAAAAGGTTATCGTTATACTGTATGTCATTACGTTGTTTTTATATAATTAAAAAAAATTTTTTAAAAATATATAAAATTTGGCCTGGTCGGCTTATGAAAACCAATTAATTAATTTTGCATGGACCATTTCTTTTGTATATAATTTTCTCTTTTAAACAGTTGCGAAAAAGATTATTTACAACAATTAGTTATACAAAAAGTGAAAATTAGTTATACAGAAAGTGAAAGTAGTGGCCCACGAACACGTTCAGGTTATAAACAAAATAACAATAGTTCTAGATCCAATTAAGAAAAATTAGCTTCCTGTTCCAAATGAAAAGAATAATTCCTTTGAAAGTTTAGACGAGTATAATAAATTAAATAAAAAAATGAAAACATTTAGTATTATAGCTCAAGCTTGGCGTATAAACTATATCAAGGAAAAATTAAATTCAAAAAAAATCATTGGTTACTCACCCTATTCCTATTAATGTTGATGAAGAGCAAATACAATTAGCAGAAATTACTGAATTAGGTGTCTGATTTTTAATTTTGAAACCCTCTAATATCCTGAATTTCATCTAACTGAACCGAATTTTCAATCCAATACCAATATTTGGAATTTTTAGCTTGTATTTAAAGATTGTAATTGATGAATAAATACCGTGCATTGATCGAACAAGTTTTTAAATCGAAACATTCGTCGAGTATCATTATATAATTAACTTTGAAGTAAATTTACATAAATAAAATTCTAGTTTTATATTTTAAAACAAATGGAAAACTCAGAACGACAAGCTATTTAGTGATCTGAATTGGAGAAACTTGGGTTTATTATTAAAAAAAGAAAATTCATCGATGCTCGAAAAAATTCGAGTTTATGGTAAAATTGAATACTCAGAAATTCAAT